GGAGTTCCACTTAAATTGACTTTTGACAGGGCCGTAAATCTTCTTGGAGTAAATTTCAAAATAAACTTGATTAAACTTTACTAACTCAATACAAAATGCAATATTATGCTATTATTTCCTATAAAATATTTTGAAGACATATTAAAGGGATATAAAATATAGAAATACAAGTACAGCAAATACAGCTTTTTACTCCACTCCCCTAAATATGTTTGTTTTGCTGTTGTCAAGCCTGAAATCTTGAAGCCGTGATACTGTTGTAACAATACTGTGAAAGGAATATCGGCCGATAGACGTCTAGTTTTATGTAGATTATTTTTCAAATTTACCGATGTTATGTTAAACGCCATGAACATAACGAAGAATCGATTCAGCCAGGTCTTCCAAAATGAGAATACACTCTCCAAAGTGACTACATTTTGCATACCTAATCTATAAAGGTAATGAATGGTTAATTAATTTACCGAGTACTTACATGTTACAATATATTATAACAAAACTGTTTAGTTTGCGTATAGAAGAGTTGTTTTATTGTTGTATTTATTGTTTTATCTCTCAACTCGTGTTAGAGAAATATAATAATTAAACCAATACATTAGGCATGCATGCAGTACGAGGGAATCTGCGCCCATATAGCACAGTTAAAACAGGTGAAAAGCTTGTTTTCGAGGCAACATGAATCCAGTACAATACCTATTTCAAGTTGTGTTTGTTTGAAACAGTTATTGGGTGAATAGAACTACTTATTTATAATAAATTTGTCAATTTTAGATCTATACTATAAAGAGTGATTTGACTAACTCAATTAGTGCACAGTCGTCAAAAAGTAGCTTATTTCAAATACATTTTGATAAATTGTTAAGTACCTTATTACAAAGTTTTTATTAGCTAGCTTTCTTGTCTGTTCGGTAAAAATTTTGCAATCGATTTTAATCTAACTTCCCGATGTACTAGAGACTCGAAACTTTAAACATAGCTCACAAATGGATGACAATGCAATGTTATATCATTTTAGCGAATTTCCCTATAGGGAAGTAGCTATTACCGTAGGTGGCACGGTAAGACCTAGACCCGGGACCGATTTACTTTTTCATTTTGATGTCCCCAGAGGCCAAAAACACCATTCGTTCAAATTTTTATATATGTATATATATACAGGGTGTTCATTTGAAAACTTTCCATATCTGTTGTGTGCAAAGGTAAGGCTTTTAACACTTGTTTGTTCTCATTTCCCCCTAATTTGGACATGCCAAATCCAATAAAATTATTTTCAATTTTGAAAAATGCCCCAAAAGGGCCCAATTTGGGGGGTAGGGGTGCTTTTTGAGAAATTTTCAAATGTAAACATGGGTTGTGTGATACATCAATTTAAAGGTATAATCGCCCCGATCATTTTGGTGCAAAAAAGTTTAATTATCTTTAACCGTATTTACAGGGTGGGTCAAAACGTTTTAAAAAAGGACTTTGAATTTAAGTACCGTATTACCGTAACTACTGAACGGAACAGCGCCAAATTTCTTTCCAAGCTTATTCTTGAGCTACTCTTTAAGATAAATTGTAGTAAGGGCATTTTCCAAGTTATTTTCTAATTTTTAAATAATCTCAAATTTTAAGAATAAAAGAAAGCTGAAAACTCAAAATTCTTAAATATCAATGTATAACAAATTTCATACCACAAGAAAGGTCCTTTTTTAACAAACATTTTACGTATTTAAGTTTTCTTTATATCTCTTACCGTTTAAAAATTTCAGTGGAAAAACATAGTTTTCTATGGTAAAATTATAACTAGTTTTCTAATAAAACACATTGCACTTTGTTCAACGATGTAGTAGGATTCATAACAAATTGATCGACTACTTTTACGTGTGTCAGAATTCATCTTGGACCCTTCATCCTGTTCTTTTCTCATTGGTAACTGAGCCAGTTTCAGAAAACTTCCTAACTAAATCATTTACAGCCATGTGACTCAAGGTTATACCTGGATATCTATTGTTAAACACTTTGCAGTTATCCTGGAACACTTTTGTTATGACCAATAAGTAAAATTAAGTCTATTTTTTAAGTTTACACCATATTTGATTAGGTACTACAGGAAATGGTACTTTTGAAATTAGTACTACCATTGACTAGTCAATGGTACTACAGAAAGCGGCCCACGCTTGGATTTTTCTCATCAGCTATAAAACTTGTTTTTCACAAAGTAAAACGTAATGACTTGTTTGCCTATCTGCCTAAAAAAAATAATGAATTGTTTCCTTCAGTAATTGCACCATTTAATGTGTCTAGAGACGAATTTTGGCTGTTTTATTAGAAAACTAGTTACAATTTTACCATAGAAAATTATGTTTTTCTACTGCAATTTTTAAATGGTAAGAGATAGAAAGAAAACTTAAATACGTAAAATGTTTGTTAAAAAAGGACCTTTCACGTGGTATGAAATTTGTTATACCTTGCTATTTAAGAATTTTGAGTTTTCAGCTTTCTTTTATTCTTAAAATTTGAGATTTTTTAAAAATTAGAAAATAACTTGGAAAATGCCCTTACTACAATTTATCTTAAAGAGTAGCTCAAGAATAAGCTTGGAAAGAAATTTGGCGCTGTTCCGTTCAGTAGTTACGGTAATACGGTACTTAACTTCAAAGTCCTTTTTTAAAACGTTTTGACCCACCCTGTAAATACGGTTAAAGATAATTAAACTTTTTTTGCACCAAAATGATCAGGGTGATTAGACCTTTAAATTGATGTATCACACAACCCATGTTTACATTTGAAAATTTCTCAAAAAGCACCCCTACCCCCCAAATTGGGCCCTTTTGGGGCATTTTTCAAAATTGAAAATAATTTTATTGGATTTGGCATGTCCAAATTAGGGGGAAATGAGAACAAACAAGTGTTAAAAGCCTTACCTTTGCACACAACAGATATGGAAAGTTTTCAAATGAACACCCTGTATATATATACGTCCGTGAACGCGATAACTTGAGTATTTTTTGTCCGATTTTGATGAAATTTGGTTTAAAGGTGTAAAGCGGGATAAACTTGAATGAGTTCGCGAACCAGTACGATCGAACCATGGGAACGGGGCTTTACGGGGGGTTTTATGGGTAAAAATAGGTTATTCTCACTTTTGACCCTCAAAACACAAAATTTCCCGATTTATCTTTAGACCTTTTTAAAGAGGTTAAAAAAACAAATAATTTAGTATACATAAGTATTTTTGTACGATTATAAGTAACGGAGAAAATTTAAAAAAAATTGTAAATTTAAACTCCCCATGTTATTCTTATGGAGAATATTGTCAAATGTTGTAGTTTGCTTGTTTATGGATATATTTTGATAAAACTTGGCAAATTTATTTATTTTGTACTAAGCTATCAATATTTTACTCAAAAACACACTTTATTAGTTTCCTTGTAGCAGCAAACCTAGGTACTCGTTAAACCTAATGTTATTAAAATATATTTAACTGAAAATCAATTCAGACAAATGGAAATTCGCTTAGTCGGCAGGTTTGCTGCGGCGGGGGTATTATTTTCATATTTCCCTTGGTCGACGCCTCATGGAGTTCAACATTTTTAATGCTTACATTTTGGAAGAATGTAAATACATCAATTGGAAACAGATGTAAATACTATAATTTGACAGTTTGTTCAAAGAGCAGAGAACCCTTTGGCTTGTGGTGTCCTTGTGGAAGTACAGTTTCTGCTCCCGAGCGATTCAAAAGTTTTAGGATTATGAGAATAGTAGCAACAGAATCTGATTACAGTTAAAAGGGTTAATATGCAATAGATTTAATATATTTACATATTAAAGAGTAAAAAGTAGAACAAAATAAATAAAACTTATTAAAATACACCTTTTTAAACGAACTAAAAACTAGAAAATAATTTATAAATACAGTATGTGGAGGGAAAAAAATAATATTGTAAGATTAAAAACTAAAAACGTGGGCGTATGCAATAGATAATAATAGTTGAATAGGTGAAGATAATAATCGTAAATTATCTATTGCATGCACTCCACGTTTTTCGTTTTGAATCTTACAAGTATTTATTCTCTCCACACATGTATTAATTATTTTCTGCTTTTTAATTAGTTAAAAAATGTTTAGGCTACTTTTGAAAGTTTCATTTTTTTTATAAATTATTTTTTAATAGTTAAAATAACTATGCTGGTCAGCATAACTTTATCTTTGAACCCGGTCTCTAGACATAAATTCAATGTGAGGGGGCGAAGCCCTAAAGCAAATTCCTTTCTTATTACCGTTTGCAGATGCGCTAGATCATAAGATTTGAATTAACACTTCAATCGAAACAATCGGTTGAATAGGATGAAATTTGGTTTTTGTCAGTCCAAAATCTAGCCAGTTTCCATCTAAAATAAAACATTAAACGTTTTAATGTAAACAAAAATTAGAGTATAAGAAATTGTTTACCTAGTCAGGCCCATAATAACCTTGAGTCAGGCGTACTTACGTGGTTCAAGTAATTTAAAACCAGCTGAGGCAGCGGTTAAAGTGTGATATCTATGTACATTTAGTGTTAAACAAAATTACAAAATTATTAATTACAAAAAATTTCTTATTCACATATAGGAACATCTAAATACATAAAATAATGTTTTAAATATATTGTGTGAAGCTGCGGTATTTCTGGATATAATAAGAACGTTTAATAAAAACGTGTTTCAATCGCCATGAATGTCTTTAGACTACACCATGAATACGTAGGTTTTGTAGGAGAAATGTAAAATATAGGACCATTAAAACGAATTTTAATTTTTTATGTACTTAAAAACTTTTGTAAATCTTACAAATACCAACCATTTTAATAATAGTAATGATAGTATAGACCTTAGAACCATGTTCCAGTGGTTGTTCCAAATTCTCTGATAGGCCTACAGAAGCTAGGACCGTCGTTGAATAATAAAAATATTGTTAAAACCCACTTAAGAAATAGTTGAACACCCGATTAGAATTAGAGAGGAAATAAAACAACTGCTAAAAGACCAAACTATGTATAATAGAAGACGGTTGGATCACACGCATTTCGACATCGACATGTTTTAACGATAACTAGAACGAGTTTACGAAAGTACACAAAAGATTAAATTTTTAAAGTCGAGAATCGAAGTCGACATCTGGAAGAAACTGGTTTTTGTAGACCCACGAGAGCTTTACGTCAATGGGCTGAGTGTCGTCGTAGAGCGAGGGGGCCTCGGTGAGGATGGTGAAGGTACCGACGATGGAGGCAATGGTGAAGATCCAGAGAAACAGTCTGTCTAGAACCATCGCGACGAAACCCCAGTCCTGGTCCTCCTGCGGAACAAGAACAGTAGGTGTAAAATGAGAGTTCTGGAGCTATGATGACGTCATTATGATCGTTGCTGATAATGATGTCACGTATGACAAACGGAGTTGGCAGTAAATGTAACATTCATATTATTGTAATGAATTACATTACTTTACATGGAGGATATTTATGTTTAGCGTGGGTTAAGGAACCCACTCAGACCTGATGGAAAACTAAATTGCAAATTAGCTCAGTGAAATTGTTCTTGTACATATTTTACGTTAAATTTGTGTAACTATATAGTTTAAATCTCAATGCTTTTGATTATGTAATATAAACGATTGATTATACTCGTAATAGTAAACGATTGGTGTTTCATATTACATGTAACAATTTACTGAAAACCGCACTGGTTATGTTTTAGCATGATGTACAAATACGCTATTACACTTTGGCAGTTTTAAAATAAATATTTGTGAAAAACACCGATATTCGGCATAAAACCCAATTTGGTTTCCTTGAACGCTAGGCACGAGCCTGGGATTGTTTTTCAAATTACTTCAGACTAGACCTAGGGGTTGCGGCATTATCGTATAGATAAAATCCATTGGTGACTTGGCAGGGATGATCCTTGACCTCAGGGGTTGAAGTCACACGCTCTAACCACTACGCCAGCTCGCTCCCCGCATAAAACCCAATAGTTATAGGCTGTTTTCATGATCATACATTTCATCAAGTGTATGTTTTTAATGACATTTCCATATTGTTATCTTATATGGAGTTGCATGATCTATGGCCATAAAGCCGCGACTGGCACGTTTGCACAGATGTTTTTTTAACGATCTTATATTGTTAACACAATTTTCAAGAAAGGCAAGCTAATTTTTATACGGAAAATAAACAAAGCATTGCTGGGACAATTTATCTTTTGCCTTGTACTATACAGCTTTTATTGGTAAGAGAAAGTTAAAGCCCAAGATGGTGTTGATAATTCATTTGAATGCAAGAGCTTTAAGGGAATAGGCTTACTAAATTTTACATTTAGTCAAAGAGAGACAAGGGGTATTTAAAGGAGATGGTTAAGTATGTTTAAATAGCATTCGAAGGAACCTACTCGTTTTGCTTGATGTAGTTAAGCAATAATCATTGTTTAGGTAAGTAGGATTCTTGGATTCTAAATTAATCTTATTCATCCTGAACATTGGATATATATTTATTACGAATAGAACCAAATAAATCAATTTTATGGAAATATAGAAAATGTAGGTTTCAATTAATAGTTTAGCTTATCTAAATAAAACATTGACTATTAATACAACAACATAGAATACAAAATAGAGTTTTAGACGCTAGTGCAATCTGTGACTGGCTCACACAACTAAATTATTTTTATCTTTTCTAGTAAACAATTAGTGACAGCTGATCCATATAGATGGGATGTCTTCTTCTGTATCAAATAGTCAATGATAACACTCAAAATATGTTTTAAAAAATTAACCACTAATTGCCATTTGAAAGGCTTCTTTAAATGTTAAAAATTACATTAAATAGCTATCAAATGTAACTGAGAAACATATTATAAACTATAATACTTACCAACTACATTCCTTTCAATGTGTCAACTATAAATTCTGAAAAAGTAGTTGACAATAGAACAGTTCTAACACACCATGAGTGCAGCAGCAGAAGTGTGCAAACATTCGACACCAAAAGTCAGTCATGCAAATTTAAACTGAAAATGGAACTTTTTAGGTATATAGATAATTCTTATAATCCCTCTTCGAGTAATATGGGGACACAAATGTTTACACTACTGCACATTTTAAATTTATTCGTTAATAAAGTTGTAGTTTTTTTAATAGTAGTGGATCGTTTATTCAATTTGTGTTAATTAAATTCATTATTTATGAATTGAGTTTTATTCATATAGCACAGTAGATTTATTTATTAGATTTGGAGTTAATTTTAGGTTTTAATCTTGTTTATTTATTTATTTTATTATTCATTTTCATATTTAAATTACAAACAACTACTTAAACTTGTGCATTGTTTAGGGTAAATGTATACGCCTTACCTCCGCATCACATTTATCTTGTATGCTGGCTCCTCCATTAAAACTCTGGCAATGTTATAAAGTTGTAAAACACGTTAAGTACAAAATCATTATTGTAGGACACTTTACTCGGTTATTTTGCTTGGAGTAACGTATTTAGAGTTTCGCACTACACTTAGTTTATAATTTCGAGTTAGACAGGTCCAGGTATTGCGTGCGGTAAACACGCGATATTTCCACGTCTATGGGCTGCGTGTCGTCGTAGAGAGCAGGGGCTTCGCAAAGGATCAGGACCGTGCCTAAGAAAGAGGCAATGGTGAAGACCCAGAGGAAGAGGCGGTCCAGAACCATCGCCACGAAGCCCCAGTCTTGGTCCTCCTGTTGAACACAGAGTAGTAGGTGTGAAATGTGGGTTGTGGTCAGCCTGACCTGTGTGGTGGGTGTACATGGGGTTCTGGGCTGGCCGGAGGTGGGCTAGGAGAAACGGTCCTGAACAAAATCGCGAGAAAGCACGGCTGAAATAAACAACCAAAATGACTTAACCAAGGTTTAATTTAGCTCTGTGTATTGATTTGTGCGTAGGTCTATGAACCCTTGTAGGAGTATAGTTTCGGTTAAAATTTTGGGTTAATTAGTTCAATAAAAAAAAACTTCTTGAAAGTATTGTATAAAATAAATCAAACCCATTTATAAAAAAATACATATTACATTATAAAACAGCCCATCGCTATTATACTGTATTTTATTTCTAAAACCAACCAATGCTGGGATTTAAAATTATTAAAGATTTCGTTCATCTCTTAAATCGCTTAAATGTTAGGCGATCGATTAAAAAAGAAACCCTAGAAAATAAAAATCTACGTATTATGAATTAAGTAAAACATAAATATAACCTCCCGTTTAAATAATCTCACAAAAGAAGAAGTAAAATAATTTCTTTGAAGTATTGTGTATGTAAATTTCAAAGGGTTATAAGTGGAAGATAATCGTAAAGGGATAGTTTTAAAGATAGAGGAAAATAGAAGGAACACAATGCCAGAGGACAGAGAGTGAGAAGAATATCACAATAATATGAACACATCAAGCACACACAAAGCACTAGCCTAATACACCACAACCAAGCAGCAAGTAACAAAAGAAATACCTGATTTGACAAGCAGGCTGTATTTGACTTGTAAAGTGTTAGTTTGTTTGATATAATATGTTTTACACAGGAAAACGCTGTTAGTAATAATTGCATGTAAAATAGAAGAAATAAGTACTTAGAAATCGTCACTAAAAATAAGTTGGATTGTGAGCAGTTATAAATGAAATATTATTACATGCTAATGAGATTCATCAAATTATTTGAGAAGAGTTAAAAGTTGTATTGAAGTAGTTTTGATAAGGTTTGTTTTGAGTGGGTTTCGATTATAAATGTTGTTTTTAAACAAGAAATATAACAATTCAATTCTGATTTAATTCTTAATAAAAGTACTTATTTCTTTTGCTTGGTTAAAATGCTTATTTACAACTATTCCTTTTTAAAAAGTTGAGCCTAGTAACACATAAAACGTATTTTAAATATATAGTTTTTATGCATATCATTTGCACAGGTTTTTATTGAACGTCTTTTATATACTTCATTTCCACAAGGAGGTATAATTGTAACTCTTATCCAATAATTAAATTCCTTTTTATAGGTTTTACCTCATTTGAGAGTGTATATTGGACACAAGAACTAAAGAGTTTTTCGATGGAACACATCTATACTCATTTAGTTAATTATATATTTTTTATATTTAATACATTTAATTAATAATAGTAAAATGTACTCCTTAATTTAGTTGAAGAAAATATCTTTTAGATATCTCTGGTATTTGTTTTTCGTGATAGTTTGGAAAATGTAAGAGTTTGTTTTTTATTATATCCATGACCTTTAAAGCATCTGATTTTAGTATCCAAAATTATCTGAAATATCCATGTTTTATATAAATTACGATGTGTGGTATGATGTTTATAGAATATTTTTGTAGTAGATATCGTTGTCTGTGTAGAGGAGCCGATGCACATGCGTTACCTCTCCACACCGAGTCTTACCGCGTCAAACTCGTCCTGCCTCTGCATGTGATGTTGTATGAAGGTCACGTTATGAATGGCTTTCTCCAACTCGAACGGATACTTTTTCCTGACGGCGATGTCACTGATGCTGTCGTCTAGCCCGACCATAGAGGGCAATCCGTTGTACCCAGACCCTCCCAGGGCTCCAATCAAACCACTGAACCTGTTGATAGATATGTATTTACAACAGTGGTACCATACGTATCTCCGTGTGAAGACAATGACACCCTCTTATATAAGTTTTTTTTTTAGATGAATGTGAATGTAGGGCGAGTGTAAAATTGCTTGGATTTTTCACTGAAAATTAATATTTGTCGCTGTTTCATTGGAGAGGACTTGATCCCAAGCCCAATAATCAGGGGCAGCTAAGTTCAGTCCTAACTCATTAAAACATTTTATCTTGATATAGTTTCTTAGTATTGACCAGTAAAGAGCACTTAACACTTTTAATATATTAAGCTTTGTTAAAAAGGTAGGCAGCTCCCCCCCTTGCATTCCCCAGTCTATACATTGGACTCGACCATGTACGCAGAATGTATCCAGCAAAGCAAGGCGTGAGCCAAGGTGCACACAGCCTCCTTACATACGAATGTCCTCATGTTGTTGGTGGGTTATGAGGTGCAGTAGAATAGTGAGTGAGCTGTACTGATATAACTTAGTAATGGACACCAGTGTAGTATCCCAACCACCGTAGTAACACAGCCATCTTGGGACTTAGCTCCATCCCGCTACCATATGAGCCATCGAATCGCCAATTAAGCAATGATAACTTGCAAAGGGGGGGGGGGGTGCAACATAGGTCAAACGATCTCCCTCCGTTTAGCTTGTAAAATCAGTAGTACTCATAATCAGTAATCAATAACTACTAACCATAAGAACTAGTAGACAGATATAAGACACATTTCTCAAAATACTTAATATTAAGTATTTGTCAATTAGCAATTCAAAATAACTTGATATAATTTAGAAAAAAATAAGGTCACTTATTACCAATTTAAGTGTTGGAGTAAGATTATGAAATTATTACATACCTACCAAGTCATGATCTATTTTGATAATGCTTGGTTTAAAAAAGACCTCACTTTCGAAAAGCCATTTTCAATCAAAAAAATACGGTCGTCATTGTAAAAAAACATTAAAACTTACTTTTTAACTAATACAAAATATAGTTCTGGCAAAATAGAGAGCTTTGCAAGCAACATATCGCTCTCAAGGGGACAGTAACACTCAACATTAGGAGTTATTGAAGGAGGAGTTGCTGGCGTTAGTTGCCAATCAGAAGTTTGGCAGAGCATCGTTCAATCCAACGGCTATAATATTTTAGGCAATGATATCAGCATTATAAATGAGCGTTCCATCACACACGTTCATTCACAATATTAAGCAAGGAAAATAATAAAATAAATTGGCCCCGGGTCCAGGTCTTACCTTAAGACCAACGGTAATAGTGTATTCCCTACAAGGAAAATTCGCTATAACAAAATATTTAGTCATAATTTCGTTTACAGAATTGTTATTCCGATTAATTATTCCGATTGATTTTCTCATTATTTATTCACATACGTACTTTAATTTTCGACAAGATCTTTTAGGATGTCTTAATTATTCTTTAGGCAACAACATTATCAAGGAATCCCCACAGGTTCATTAAGGGAATTATAACGGCAATAAATATTTTGTAAACTTTTCTTTCGTTCATGTATGTTTTTTTAATTGACAGTTTAACAGTAAGACCTTTTAGTTATAAATACCATCAAAACCTTTCTTAAGTTACTGTCCAAACATCGAGCTTAGGGGCTTCGTGATTTCATTACTTCCAAAGATATAGGGAGAAACTGAATTCAGAATGGCTAGGCTAATTATATTTTAGGATGCATTATGTTCGGTGATTGGGAGAATTCGAGAGAACCAGTGATTTTACCTGTCAGTATAGTATGGTACCATGGTGGCATTAGTTCTCCTCGTCTTACCTGTTGGTGGTGGAGGATGAGTGTAGACCGTTGCAGCCACCCGGCCGTGGAGGGAAGTGCCTCATGGAGTCAGGGGAGGACGCCCCCGAGGAGTTGGCGGCAGCGATGGCCGCGTTTAGACGAGACCTACACAATAAAAATACGATCATTGCTTTTATATGATATTTATAGCCAACGAAATAACTAAGCAAAGCTGTTCAAAATGCATGCGGATAAACTACTAAGAGGCAAGTAAATACGATTGTGATTGTAAAAATTAATAACTCACGTGTTCCAGTGTAAACTTTGTGTTAATATCCTATAAGAACACCATTTTTGGTCATAATTAGTGTACTACCTGTGTTGTGGTGTGGCCTAGTTTTTGTTGAAATAAAAGTCACAAACGTGTCCAGTTGATTGTTTATAGTTAGCAATTGAGTTTAGCTACATTTATCGTGTTTATTTATTAGGCTTTCTTGAAATCTGAATTATGAAAATGAAAAACAAATATTTATTCTTATACATCTGTTCTATGTGTTTAATTCGTTAATAAGTTCTATGAACGTTACATGAATCTAATGAATTCCTGCAAACAAAATATCTTAAAGCAAATACTAACATGCACAGCAAAATAAAATAGTTAATTTCGATACATAGCCAATAAAAGAATGAAAAACTTGATACGTTTTTTCCATATTTTGTTCGTGTTTCCTTTTCTGAATGCCACGTTTATAAAATTTAAAATTAAAATTTACCTTTATTAGGTAAAGGGACTATAATCACTTTTCTCACCGCTACCTAAAGTCAACCTGTTACTGGGAAGTGTTGTCTTAGCTACACAACAGCATTTGATTTATATTTTTAGTAACCTAGTTTGCAATACAAAATCTAGTAAGCATTCAAAGAGGTCGCATATCATTTGAAAACATTTACCTGTTTAAAGAACTCAAAGGCTGGCTAAAAGGATTAATTGTAATTAATAGATCCAATTATTATTTAAGAATCAGCTTCTAATATAGTTTTAAACATATCTGCTTACATACTCAAGATGGTAGCTAGATAGCATGTTAAATTAATCACATGAGGAACATTGCGATCTATATGGGGGATAAAAAATACGAACAGGTATACGGATTTTCTTAAAATATAGGGTCCAATAATAATTGAAATTATTATAGCTCATCTAACTTGTTCACTAACTACTTATTATCGGTTAACTTATTTTCTAACTATCAAATTAGATTATAATTCAATACATTTCTTAGTATCTTTGCTCACCTCTTGTTGTCCCTGTGAACGCGTTTCTTGTGCGCCATCTCCTCGAGGAGTTGGTCCGGCACCCGCATTAGCAGCAGCTTGGGGAGTCTGCGGATGAAGATCTTCTTGACCCACGAGGCCATCTTATGAGTGCTCGGCTTGCGGTAGTGAACATTCAGCACCATGATAGTGATGACGACGCAGAGTCCCACCAACAACATGGTGAACAACAAGTACTTGCCGAGGAGAGGCAGCGCTAGTGAGGTCGAGGGGATGATCTCGGAGATGAGCAAGAAGAACATGGTCTGCGACAGGAGAATGGTGATGCAGAGGGCGATCTTCTCACCGGAGTCGGCCGGGAGATAGAACACCAGCACTGACAGGTAGGAGATGCCCACACAGGGGACGATCAGGTTCACTGTGTAGAAGAGGGTCTTCCGGCGGAGGGTGATGTTGAAGAAAATGTCTGCGGAGTTGATTGATAAAGTTAAGGTAAGCAGTTGAGTAAATAGATAAACTCAAAACAGCTTTACTTGCGATGGTGTGTTTAAGCATTCAAAAGGTATTCCTGCATTTTGGGTAAGCCAGTAATGATAATAGCAACCAACGGTCAATAGCATCCCAGATCCTAGGAGGATTTTCAATACAAGGGAAAACTAATTGTTATACTTCTTTCTCTCAAAGTATGGTACAATGAACATGATTTCAATGATATGAAATACCTAAAGATAATACGAAATATTATATGATAAATGAGATCAAAGTTCTGCAAATAATTCAGAGATTAAAAACATTCGGAAAATAATAAGAGACATGTCGTAAAAGTGGCAGCACATCAGGTAAAACAAATATTCATAACTATGCTAATTTTTTACCCGTTTTTGTGGTGTGTAAGTAAACCTCAGTTAAGCGGAAGAGTGAAAAATCCTTGTTATCTAGCACACGCCCTAGGTTTACCGCTATTAAATTTTGTTTTCGTTTCTTCCTAGGTATTTGAAAGTATTTGAAGGGTGTTTATGCCCAGTAGGTATAAGTAAATGACATTTCACCTACATATCTGTAGAATCTTCGCTAGTTTCTCCACCAACGTATGGCTCGACACAAGGTGTAGAACTTAACTTATCTCTCAGCTGGGACGCCCAAAATGTCCCACTCCACACTGGGGTAGTACTCCCTTAGGTCGACACCAATCTCAACCTACCGACCTACCTGGATATAGCTTGTTACAACAGGTGTAGAACTTGACATGTCTCTCAGCTGGGACGCCCAAAATGTCCCACTCCACACTGGGGTAGTACCATTGACTATACACCTCTACTAGTACTCCCTTAGGTCAACACCAATCTCCACCTACCTGGATATGGCTCGTTACAACAGGTGTAGAACTTGACTTTTCTCTCAGCTGGGACGCCCAAAATGTCCCACTCCACACTGGGGAAGTACTCCCTTAGGTCGACACCAATCTCCACCTACCTGGATAAGGCTCGTTACAACAGGTGTAGAACTTGACTACACTGTCAAGTAGTCAGCTGGAACGTCCAAAATGTCCCACTCCACACTGGCGTAATACTCTCTTAGGTCGACACCAATCACCACCTACCTGGATATGGCTCGTTACAACAGGCGTAGAACTTGACTTATCTCTCAGCTGGAACGCCCAAAATGTCCCACTCCACACTGGCGTAATACTCCCTTAGGTCGACACCAATCACCCCCTACCTGGATATGGCTCGTTACAACAGGCGTAGAACTTGACTTATCTCTCAGCTGGAACGCCCAAAATGTCCCACTCCACACTGGGGAAGTACTCCCTTAGGTCGACACCAATCTCCACCTACCTTGATAAGGCTCGTTACAACAGGTGTAGAACTTGACTACACTGTCAAGTAGTCAGCTGGAACGTCCAAAATGTCCCACTCCACACTGGCGTAATACTCTCTTAGGTCGACACCAATCACCACCTACCTGGATATGGCTCGTTACAACAGGCGTAGAACTTGACTTATCTCTCAGCTGGAACGCCCAAAATGTCCCACTCCACACTGGCGTAATACTCCCTTAGGTCGACACCAATCACCCCCTACCTGGATATGGCTCGTTACAACAGGCGTAGAACTTGACTTATCTCTCAGCTGGAACGCCCAAAATGTCCCACTCCACACTGGCGTAATACTCTCTTAGGTCGACACCAATCACCACCTACCTGGATATGGCTCGTTACAACAGGTGTAGAACTTGACATGTCTCTCAGCTGGGACGCCCAAAATGTCCCACTCCACACTGGCGTAATACTCTCTTAGGTCGACACCAATCACCACCTACCTGGGTATGGCTCGTTACAACAGGTGTAGAACTTGACATGTCTCTCAGCTGGGACGCCCAAAATGTCCCACTCCACACTGGCGTAATACTCTCTTAGGTCGACACCAATCACCACCTACCTGGATATGGCTCGTTACAACAGGTGTAGAACTTGACATGTCTCTCAGCTGGGACGCCCAAAATGTCCCACTCCACACTGGCGTAATACTCTCTAAGGTCGACACCAATGCCTACCTGGATATAACCTACCTGGGTATGGCTCGTTACAACAGGTGTAGAACTTGACATGTCTCTCAGCTGGGACGCCCAAAATGTCCCACTCCACACTGGCGTAATACTCTCTTAGGTCGACACCAATGCCTACCTGGATATAACCTACCTGGGTATGGCTCGTTACAACAGGTGTAGAACTTGACATGTCTCTCAGCTGGGACGCCCAGAATATCCCACTACACACTGGCGTAATACTCTCTTAGGTCGACACCAATGCCTACCTGGATATAACCTACCTGGGTATGGCTCGTTACAACAGGTGTAGAACTTGACATGTCTCTCAGCTGGGACGCCCAAAATGTCCCACTCCACACTGGCGTAATACTCTCTTAGGTCGACACCAATGCCTACCTGGATATAACCTACCTGGGTATGGCTCGTTACAACAGGTGTAGAACTTGACATGTCTCTCAGCTGGGACGCCCAAAATGTCCCACTCCACACTGGCGTAATACTCTCTTAGGTCGACACCAATGCCTACCTGGATATGGCTCGTTACAACAGGTGTAGAACTTGACATGTCTCTCAGCTGGGACGCCCAAAATGTCCCACTCCACACTGGCGTAATACTCTCTTAGGTCGACACCAATCACCACCTACCTGGGTATGGCTCGTTACAACAGGTGTAGAACTTGACATGTCTCTCAGCTGGGACGCCCAAAATGTCCCACTCCACACTGGCGTAATACTCTCTTAGGTCGACACCAATGCCTACCTGGATATAACCTACCTGGATATGGCTCGTTACAACAGGTGTAGAACTTGACATGTCTCTCAGCTGGGACGCCCAAAATGTCCCACTCCACACTGGCGTAATACTCTCTTAGGTCGACACCAATCACCACCTACCTGGGTATGGCTCGTTACAACAGGTGTAGAACTTGACATGTCTCTCAGCTGGGACGCCCAAAATGTCCCACTCCACACTGGCGTAATACTCTCTTAGGTCGACACCAATCACCACCTACCTGGGTATGGCTCGTTACAACAGGTGTAGAACTTGACATGTCTCTCAGCTGGGACGCCCAAAATGTCCCACTCCACACTGGCGTAATACTCTCTTAGGTCGACACCAATCACCACCTACCTGGGTATGGCTCGTTACAACAGGTGTAGAACTTGACATGTCTCTCAGCTGGGACGCCCAGAATGTCCCACTCCACACTGGCGTAATACTCTCTTAGGTCGACACCAATCACCACCTACCTGGGTATGGCTCGTTACAACAGGTGTAGAACTTGACATGTCTCTCAGCTGGGACGCCCAAAATGTCCCACTCCACACTGGCGTAATACTCTCTTAGGTCGACACCAATCACCACCTACCTGGGTATGGCTCGTTACAACAGGTGTAGAACTTGACATGTCTCTCAGCTGGGACGCCCAAAATGTCCCACTCCACACTGGCGTAATACTCTCTTAGGTCGACACCAATCACCACCTACCTGGGTATGGCTCGTTACAACAGGTGTAGAACTTGACATGTCTCTCAGCTGGGACGCCCAAAATGTCCCACTCCACACTGGCGTAATACTCTCTTAGGTCGACACCAATCACCACCTACCTGGGTATGGCTCGTTACAACAGGTGTAGAACTTGACATGTCTCTCAGCTGGGACGCCCAAAATGTCCCACTCCACACTGGCGTAATACTCTCTTAGGTCGACACCAATCACCACCTACCTGGATATGGCTCGTTACAACAGGTGTAGAACTTGACATGTCTCTCAGCTGGGACGCCCAGAATGTCCCACTCCACACTGGCGTAATACTCTCTTAGGTCGACACCAATGCCTACCTGGATATAACCTACCTGGGTATGGCTCGTTACAACAGGTGTAGAACTTGACATGTCTCTCAGCTGGGACGCCCAAAATGTCCCACTCCACACTGGCGTAATACTCTCTTAGGTCGACACCAATGCCTACCTGGATATAACCTACCTGGGTATGGCTCGTTACAACAGGTGTAGAACTTGACATGTCTCTCAGCTGGGACGCCCAGAATATCCCACTCGACACTGGGGTAGTACTCCCTTAGGTCGATACCAATCTCCACCTTGTCCTCCCCGAGCTTCTGGTTGATATGTTTTAAATCGATCTGAAACACAAAACACTGTAAATATATTTCCTTTGTATAAACAAATGTTTCCACATATTTAAAGAGCAAGCTTTAAGCTATGTAGGAACGATGCATGTGATTGAGTTTTTAAGGTTCACAATACCATAAACTGGTGGCTGGCTGGTGAAGTATGTTCTGAATTTTTTGCATTATCGTAACTTGTATGCATAGCTTTAAATAAAAACTATATTAATAATTCATTACCATTACCTAGAGCTAATGAATGAAACGTAAAAGCAAACGTATCCATACACCTAAAGAGATACTTTACAAAGGTGAATCATTAGAGACGCCAACTCTAACCTACTCACAGAATTATATACAAACATATTAAAACACAATCAAAGGGCATACAAGTCTCAACGCGTTCAAAAGAGATGAGAGAATTGCGGGAATCGTTAGTTGTATAAAAGAGAAGGATGTACAAAGGGAAATCTCAGAGGACGGTAGACTATTGTGATGCCTTGATATTGGCTTTTGTCGAGGAAGACCAGAGACCACAGCTTAGTACCGCCTTGGGTCCCAATCCTTAGCTATGTACACTGCTATTGTCGTGGTCGTCTAATGCGACAATATTAAACTTGCAGTCCATTCGTCACTGAGCTGATGTACCAGATACAAAAGACTTTTCTTCAAAAGTTGTTTGGATTGCTACTGTACAAAACGGTGGATAATGCAACATTTGCTTTCATCAGTTTAGTTAGCTAGTGTGTCTCATCTCACACTGAAGTTAACCATTTCGGAATAACTAGTTTAAGGTGTCAAAAAGTATTTTATATTAGTATGCAACAAGAGTTAAAATACACTATTTAATTACAGAACTACAGATCATCCTGATTAATTTACTAGTCAGAGCGGTAACTTTCAAATACGAGGGCTGAGTTGTTGAAACTCTAGGAAGTCTAGTTGTGTACTTTTTATCGGGTTATTAATTATGATGATTGATTATATATGGAAATAAGACCAGTATTTGAACTGTTACCAAACAAAGAATAATTAAGAACGCCACAGTAGTTGAGAATGTTATTGTGTAATATACAAAATAAATTCAAACAGCTTGAGAGGTCGTATCTACCCAAGTAAAAATTCAAAACGTCCATTTTGGTTCGAACTCAATTCAATTTCTGGTACCTAGCGAATAGCCATAGTGCCTATTATTTGTAAGCAATTGAGTTACATTTGATTTTACAATTTATTAAGATCATACATTTTGTTCCCTGTAGCTTAATTGGGTAAATTATCATTCTTTCTATAAACGTTTCTGTTTTTTTGGGATACAACTACAATGCTATGACTGGAAACTTTATATCTTCAGTTTAAGGTAATATTGTGGAAAGTTACGGTTAATTAAGTTTTGCTGTATAAGAATACATTTAGTCCAGTCAAGGAATGAGGTGTAGAGTGCGTGAGCAGGTAACTAAGCGATTCCTTCAGAAACTTGTTCAGGGGGCTTAGGGTGTTAACATACCAAAAGTCCTGACTCCTAGGTGGTGAGCCAGGGGGTGGAGGGGGGAAAAAGGGGGGGGAAAAGGTACGCATTTTGGGTTTTTTGATTATATCTCGAAAACTATCAACTTTTTGTATACTATAGTAAATTATAAAATTGAAGAAGATTAAATTTTCTACAAGAAAAGTATATAATGTGTTTATTTTGGTTCAACAGATTACGAGTTATAACTTATTTAATTGATATCTTATTAAAATACTCCTTCCATAAGAAATACATGTAAATTAGTATGCGAAATGGGGCGAATCCTATCCACCCAAAGGAAATATAAATGATATTCTGGAAATCTTGACAAAATTTCCAGTAATTTGACACTTTAATCATTAAAATTGATCCAAAATTAAGGCGAGGGCGAGGTAACAAAATTTCGAGTTTTGGTGTTTTTTTATTGGAAATATAAAAAAAACCTTAAATCATCCCATTTTTAAACGCTCACCCTCGCTTTAATTTTTGTCAAAATTTCATGATTAAAGTGTAAAATTACTGGAAATTTTGTCAATATTTCCAGAATATCAGTTATATTTCCTTTGGGCGGATAGGATTCGCCCCATTTCGCATACTAATTTACATGTATTTTTTATGGAAGGAGTATTTTAATAAGATATCAATTAAATAAGTTATAACTCGTAATCTGTTGAACCAAAATAAACACATTATATACTTTTCTTGTAGAAAATTTAATCTTCTTCAATTTTATAATTTACTATAGTATACAAAAAGTTGATAGTTTTCGAGATATAATCAAAAAACCCAAAATGCGTACCTTTTCCCCCCCTTTTTCCCCCCTCCACCCCCTGGCTCACCACCTAGGAGTCAGGACTTTTGGTATGTTAACACCCTAAGCCCCCTGAACAAGTTTCTGAAGGAATCGCTTAGTTACCTGCTCACGCACTCTACACCTACTTTTGGATCATTCATTGACTGGACTAATTAGTAAGAAGCCAAAACAGCACCTCCTTATAACAAATGACTTGATGATGCTAAGCATCTTTATTTTATGGAAAGCTTAGTCTAATACAGTGCCTCTCATTTAAGTTCGTATAACCATTGGTATAACAACATCCAACTAGGGTAAGCACCAAGCTTCGATTGGTTGGCTTTTCAAGTGTTATGTTCCGGCTGAATGCAGATAGGCTTCTTCTCTAGTTCGATTAATGAGATGAATTAATGTCGGCCTGATTCTTTTAATACCGGGATCTTGGGAAAAGAACATTAGTCATACATAACAAAAGCGATAGAAACTTAATATCTATCCTACAAAAGTATACCATCTTTAAAGTAGTTTTATAGTAAAATTTTGAAACGCATCCTCAAAACCATCTTAATAATAAAAAATAAAAAATATGTGTGATCAGGCTAGCTAGAAAAACACTAAACAGATAAATACCTGACCTATAAACAAGTTTCAAAATATTATCTTCGCTGTTACATTTATATTACTTTTTAAGAGATTGGGTTCCCTCCCCCCCCCCAAAAAAAATTGTATATTTCGTACCTAGGGCCGAAAATGAGGTTTTAAAACGATCGAGAGCTGCAAAACCATTTCGGTCCGTGGTACAAACACTATTTTTCACCACACTATACCCTATTACCACTATTCATCACAATAAAAATGCAAATGGTATAACGTTTTCCTGTTTGATACCTGGTAAAACTTATCAGATTGCATAAGTGAATTATTAGCAATACAATTTAGCTGTTAATTATCATTTAAATGGGTTAAAACTCAAAAAGTTAGTCTATAAAGATTTATCTAGTCATCTCGAGAGTATATAATTCTGACCCCTAACTTGAAACTCTTAAAAGGTGGGCCTGGATCTTGAGATATTTCCAAACGAAACGTCATTATGTCCCAACAGTTTAACATGTGTATCCCAGTCACAACAACTACATTATTTTATTAATATAATGATCTACATTAATTTTGCTATAAGATTCAATATTTTAATATTCACTCATGTTGAATTAATTATTTTCAAAGCAACCATCACTTTATTTGAAGACAATAATTAAATAACAATTTATTCATTAGTTGATTTGGAAATAGGAATCTCGTCTTTATTTCACAGTAAATATTCTCTAATAATGACCAAGTGATTATATTAAAGTAGAGTAAGTATATTTAACTATTGTCAATTAAAAGAATATGTTATGACAGTTTGTTTGTTTTGATTTAACCTCAAAATTTGACACGTATGAACACATGATCGCACTAAAAAGGTTCATCTTCAAAGATATTCCACCACAGCTTAATAACCGCTTCTAGCTAAAAAAATCCAATTGCACTGAACAGACTTCTCTATTTTCACCCCACCCTGTAAATAAAACATGTGATTGTAATTTCTTCCATTTGTTTTGATTTTCTGTTTATATTTCGTTGTTATTTCGTCACCAGCATGGCAACACATAAAGCCCATGTTAATTTGTTTAAATTTCAAATTCATTTCTTGTGCTTATTTTTGAGCCTATTTTAATTTTTAAAGGTATTCTGCACTTCTACAGGAACATATCTTTCTAACGGTATGCGTAGATTTTCCCTGCGATGCACACGAGCTGAGAAAAAAGGTTTTAAAGAAACATGCTTGCCTATTAATATATAGACGAGAGGTCGTCCAGTGGTCGAAACTCGACCAAAAATATGTAATGTAAACTTACTCACTTCTCTATTTTCACCCCACACTGTAAATAAAACATGTGATTGGAGTTTCTTCCATTTGTTTTGATTTTATGTTTATATTTCGTTGTTATTTCGTCACCAGCATGACAACGCATAAGATCCATGTTAATTTTTTCAAAATTTTTAACTCATTTTTTGTGCTTATCTTTGAGCCTATTTAAATTTATAAAGGGATTCTGCACACCTACAGGAAAATAACTTTCTAACGGTATGCGTAGATTTACCCCACGATGCACACGAGCTGAGAAAAAAGGTTTTAAAGAAACATGCTTGCCTATTAATATATAGATAGATAGATTCGTGTTTTAAGAAAGTAGGCGGACATCTGATTTTGCAGCCCTAGGGATGAAAAAACCTGCTCGGTCCCCAAATGACGATGACAGCTGGCATGGCCAGCAAAACGAAACTTTCAGCCACGAATTAACGTATGTAAAACAGCTAAAAACATCATAGTGTGGTGAATCAAACATTTTAGTAACAGTATTTAAATTGTTATAACATTTTGTAAACAATTAACTCTTGTAGGGTCCTATCAAAGGTGAGTACCAGATTTATTTTAAGAAGAATGATTTCGACTTTCAATTATCAGGAAGAGAAGATGGAAAGAAATAACTTAACGGACATTTGATAATGAATTCAGATGTTATAATCATTTGTGGAAGAATTAATTACAACGCATGTCTTGCTAAGGTGTTACAAGTTGCCGATAAGGTCGCTCGTTCAATATTAAGTCCTCTGTGATTTGTTTAACAGCTTAGTTCGTGGAATTGAGTATCACAAACATTATTTATTTAA